ACAACTTTGTCTTTAGTCAGCTATGCTAGTAAATTAACCTGGTGACCCTCTTTCGACACTGACTGATTACACACATCAATCCAACGGCAACAGGTCACTGTTGCTGAAGAATTGGGGGAATATACACAGTCCACAGGTGGCAAGGGACTGAAGAGCTTGATCAATAGACTCTACCAAACACTTTGTAACTCATAAAACAGGCATCTCTCTTCTCAAAGAGCTCCAAGGTACCTATGGTGCATGAACTGTTTCCTGACAATTTCATTCTCATTCTACATATTAAATATGAGTATGTTACTGCAAAATAAATGCATACCTATGTAAGACTGTTTTCTACAACTTTCAGCATGAACACATACTCACACATGTATAGAGTATAGTATCTAATCTCATAGGACTATCTTATGAAAATAAATGCAAGTACTCTTTTTTTTTCTTTAAGTGAACTCAGTACAACAACAAAAAAAGTGTGCTTGATCAACACATTCAGCAAAATGTTTTTAATCAGAAAAAAATTGGACTGAATAATTTGTTCCTCTCAGAAATAATCACTTGTTAAAGAAATACATGAATGGTTAACCACTCTTCAAAAATAATTAGGACTTCTCTTCACAAGGCAGAGAATTTGTTGACAATTTGGAAAATAAGACACCTGTGTCAAATTACTTCTGTCATAAAATTTGCAATCAAACCAAAATTACAATGAACATGTGTTTCTTTGGTTATAGGCTTGCATTCCTTAGCACTTACTTGAAAAAAAATGTGATGCTATTTTGAGTAAAACAGTTTCTAAATCCTATCTTAGACTAGAGAACATTTTGTATGTGTTCCCCAATCTCCCCCCACCCAAAACCACTAAATATATTTTCAAGACAGAAGAGGCTTAGTGAAAGAACTTACCAGGTTCAATCTACTATAATATCTGTTATCAAACAAGTTACTATTATTGTTGTCATTATTATACTATTATACTAACCTGGTGCACGGATTCATGTACCGGTTGGGTCCCTCAGCCTGGCCTGTGGGGGTCAGTGGACTTCTGCGCTGCCACAGCTGGGCCTTACCCACCAGCTCGTCGGGCCTGCTATCCGCATCCATCCCACACAACACAAAGTAGCAGGCGGCCAGAGGAGACTGAGCCCGAGCTGGGTGCTGTGCAGCTCCCATTTATCCAGTACCTGCTACACCCACCCCCACTCGGACATGCAGGAGGAGTGTCCACAGGCAGCTCTGCTAGCCAGAGATGAGCCAGGCTTCTGGCACCTGTCAGCTGAGCAGCGCTCCAGTTGTGGGAGCACACTGATCACCAGGGGGCAGCTCCTGCATTGAGCATCTGCCCCCTGGTGGTCAGTGAATGTCATAGCTACTTGCCGGTCATCTGGTTTATGATGGATTTTATGATTTATATATATGGATTAAATCATAGATGTTGTATTAAACATTAAAAGATCACTTCCCATTGCCACAAACAAAAGATGCCCTTTTCTTCAACAAAAAACAAACAAACAAACAAACAAAAAACTTGAGCTTAAAGGAGATGTCAGATTTGCCCAAGCTCATACAGCTATAAAATACATAAAAATTTCTGACCTCTATCCTAATTGGAAGTATTGTTCTTGAGTCATCCCTTTGTACTAGAGTCTAGTTATCTTCTTACCTTGCTGAATAATTTCAGGACCAGAGGTTTCCTCTCCCGATATGAATATCCCTTCCTGGTTGAAAGTTTCCAAGTGTTTTACCTAGAAAGCTGCACCTTGGGGATATATTGGCGAGCAAAGTGTCCATGAGGAGGGAGGTTTTGTACTACATCTTCCAGTGGGATGTTTGCCCTGGTGGATCTGTTCCAGTGTGTGTGTGTGGGGGGGGGGGGGGGGGCTTCAAGCCAGAGGGTAAGAAGAGGAAGACTTTAGTACAATAAGAGCACTAGAGTCTGTGCACAGACATGCACAAGCACATGTGCCAATTCAAAAGTCCATGGTAACGGTCCTGATGCACATTCTAGTCCTTAGAACTGGAGGTTAGACAATTTTAGATTTTTTTTCCTAATTTGATAACTCTTAAGAGTGATTCTAGACTTCTGACTCCAGTCTTAGGTTTCTGGCCTTTTATTTCACTGATATGTTTGGTTTGAGCCCTTCATGAAGGCCATGTAACTAGGCTAATATTTATGCTTGTTTATAACTCAAGCACATCCCTACCCACTGTCATTGCACCAATCCACTTCAGTTTTGTAATCTTACGGACCCCACCGACATTGATTTTATAAACACAGAGTGTAGAACACAAGTAGTCTGATCTCTACAGCAATACCTTTCCACCCCAGCATACTGACTTCTATTTTTATTTTATAATATATCTGCCAAAATTAATAGTGAAGCCTAAAGACAATTGGACATGTGGTATATGAAGTACACTTAGTAAACCATAAGTCTAAATAATAATTTCCACTTCCATTTATATGATTAACCTCCTATGAAATTAAGTCCTTAGGTAGGGGATGTGTGGGCTGCTATGTTTTTGTGAAGGTGAGAAAGAGAAGGACAGAAGGCGATAGATATAATGCAAGGGTAGATCAGCTAACTACCAGAGCACCTAGAATGTTGTAAGAACTCCTTAATTACCTACAGGAATAAATGAATGGACAAACAGACCACTGAAGACTGACTCCAGATTTCTATCTGTCAGAGTTTAACATGGAAGTCACAGGTCTATATCTCCTGGAGATTTTATACTTTCATTTGGAAATCTCTCTCATGTAACATAGTGTTTGGTATTGTGTCAAGTGATCAATAATTACTGAATAATAGTAATCATAAGAGGAATAACAATAGCAGTGCTAGAAACTATGATAAACGCTTTAAGTATATGGTCATTTAATCCTCATAATAATTCTGTAAACTTGGCATTACATGTTATACCCATAATACAGATGAATGAAATAAGGAACAAGGCCAAATAACCAGCCAAGTTCCCCAAACTACTAGTAAAACACAGATCCAGAACTCAAACTACAGTATGTGTCTTGCTAAAGCCTTTCCTTTAATAAATGAATAAGTATATGACAAAATGAGTGCAACTCTACTGTGCTTTTATAATGAGACATCTTGAAAAGGGTTGAATAGAGAAAGTTTAATTCTGTGAATGGCAAATTTTATAAAGTCTTTTTTATACCAACACACAAGGACCCATAAGTATCAGTATCGCCTCAGTGAGTAACCAAAAAATGGGAGAAAGAGAATCACCCACCAAAAAAGATATTAGAATGAGGATGGAAGGAAACACACAAGTACCATGGCACACATTTCCTCCTTCCGGTTAACAGTTACCAGTAGGAGGCCATTTATTTGACTCATTTTTTTTTAAATAATTGTGCTAAAAGTCTTATGTTTAAGTGAAACACTTTTCTGAATGTAAGCTTGTCTTCCATTAACAAAAATTCTTGGCATTCTGAAGCAACTTGGAGCCATTGCTCAATCACACTGAACTGCAGCTGTACCCACGAGGCAATTAAGACAGAGTTCCTAAAGAGAATGCTGGATGAGACAGCTCTTACCAAGAAATGTTTCCTTTCTCTTTTAAAATTATTTGTCTTTCCTTTTCTTCTTCCTGATTCTCTTAATTTCTCAATCTCTTCATATGTTAATTAAGAACTGCAAAGTAGTTTTTGAGGAGTTATACATTTCAAGTCTATATTTTTATAAATAAGGTATATTTTATAAAGTACCACGTTCAAACAATAGCTATTGCTATTTGTATAATTAGCCATCATAATTGTTGACTAAACAACTCTGAAAGAAATATATATTTTAATCACATGTTTTACATAAGTCAATGTGTTTAATGAACTCTCAAGCAACAAAGCTTGGGTAGGAAATACATAATGACATAACAGAACACAACAAAACATTCAACTGCACGCTACAACTTCATCATACCTGTTGACTTTTGAACTAGTTCAATTCTATACTGGAAATGACCATGTTTTATAATTTCGAGTTGTATATGGTGTCCAGGCTTTGAGGAACTACTGGGTGGGTTGTAGAATTATGCCAAATTTACCCGTTTCTGGAAGACAGTTTGATAATTTAAAAATTGAGCAGCCTTGCCTGGCTGGCATGTCTTAGTGGTTGAGCATTGACCTATAAACTAGGAAGTCACAGTTTGATTCCTGGTCAGGTCACATGCCTAGATTGTGGGGTTGATCCCCACTGTGGGACATGCAGAAGGCAGCCAATCAGTGATTCTCTCTCATCATTGATGTTTCTATTTCTTTCCTCCTCTCCCTTCTACTCTGAAATCAAAAATAAAAATATATTTTTTAAAAAGTGAGCAGCTTTTCTCTGCTACCCATATTAATATCTACTAAAGAGTAGTAAAACTTCTGTGTACTGAAATAACCACCAAAGAAGAATTAAACCTTCTGAAAATGTACACATGTATGTTAAACATTACAAAGGAAAGGACACAATCCAAAGATCATTGCAAGGGAAATCTGGAGTGGTTCTTTAGACAGAGAGAGACTTAGACTGTGAAAAGTATAGAGAAAGGGAGAAAAAGAGCATTTAGAGACTAAGCTCATTGTCTTTTGATCCTCTTTGTCTCTCAAGGCCTCCCTTACCATTGTCACTACAGTTGGGCTATTAACCACATATGGAAACTTTCAGACTCCAGTCTTTCATCTCCAACCAACAATAAAAGTCCAGTGCCCCCCAAATTTCCTAAACTAGCAAACATAAGTCTCTAAGTAGCAATGGAGTCCAAAGATCTCCTTGCCATTCTCCATGTATATAATTCACCTTTCAGCTTCCCCAAAATATCTTGCATGATATTTAAACAAAATCACTGTGCCATTTTCAAAATATCTGGTTGCACATTCTTTTCTTTATCCCAATCAACACTAATATACCCTAAGATACCACACACGGCTACCATCTTAAGGCATTTAAATGTGAAATTATCATCCACAATACTGTCATAAGAGAGGAATAAAGACAGATTACCTGGGGTTAAGAGGATGACTGACATAGTGATGAGTGAGCATACAACTAAAATCACCAGCAGGGCAATAGCAATCCCCTTCCAGTTTCTCTGTGGAGGGCTGTTACTTCCCAGCTCCTACCGAGATAAAAGAAAGTTTCATAATTATACATGCTCCAAGAGAAATGCATTCATAAAAACCTGATTTGGTGCATGGCACAATCACAGTGTGAATGCTGATTAGAATCCCTTTCCTCTTTGGTACCTCATCTATTTATTCTAAGGTGTGTTTATTATAAATGGCTATCTTCGCAGGGGGCAATCTTATTTCTCTATGAGCTAAACCAGGAATGCTTTACGCCTATTGTACAAAATGCAGGTGATTTTAAATGCATGGACTATAAACAACTGGATAATAACCAAAATACTCTGCAAAATAATTATGGAAATAAAGCGTTCCCATTTACTTTTTTTTTCTTGCAACAAAGGAACTTACAATGAAGATTTAAATACAATCATTCTCAAAGCACTGCAGACTACGATTTTAACTAGATGAGAGGTACCAGATGAGAGATGGGGAAATCATTCAAAATGCCACTCGCTGCAGAGCCCTGCACAGTTGTCAACACAACAGGTCTTTTAAAACAGTTCCCACACCACTCATGAAAGCAGCAGGGTGCAGGAACTAAATTAAATGAGTGCTTCTCTATCAATGGTTAACAGCATCCTCTCCCTGGGCAACATGCATGATACTGTCAAGGAGGTGATACTGATGGGGAAGGATGAACTTGAGCATCTCTCACAAGGCACAGGGGAAAGCTCTTTATTTCAGATGTTCTGTGTTCTACTCTCTTGATTAGAAAAGCATAAGCACCATTCACCAAAGGGCAGAACAGACTACACTGGTTTGCAATGAGGGCCAGATTTTCTTTGCAATATAGTTTATGAAACACCGAGCCTTCTGGTTCTTCCTGCCCCATCCCTCAACCCCATTTTCTCCTTCCCCAAGAGAACCTTCTTTATTCAGAAGTATTTAAGTGATTTGGAGACAAATAAATGAAATATGAAGTTCACTACGTGATCACAAATCACCCAAGAAGCTATAGAGGAGCATTGATTTAAACAGAGATAAATGGTATAGAAAACATTTAATAAACTATAAATGGGTTCCTGTGACTCACTGATTAAAAAGCATTGAAGCCAATTTTCATACAGTGAGGTTGATATTCATTTTTTCCCCCATAAATGCTTTGGATTTGAACTAGGCTCTATCTAAACTTAAGAAGCCCTCGCTTATGTGGCTCAGTTGATTGGAGCATCATCCCGTGCATCAAAGGGTCGCAAGTTCGATTCCTGGTCAGGGCACAGAACTAGGCTGCAGGTTCAATTCCTGGGCAGGGCATATAATTAGGATGTGGGTTCAGTTTCCAGTCTGGATGTATATGGGAGGCAACCAATAGTTGTTTCTCTCACATATCAATGTTTCTTTCTCTCTGTCCTCCCTTACTCTCTAAAAATAAATAAAAATAAATAATTAATCAAGAAGAAACCAGGTATTTTGTTCTTGTTTGTGTTACACCATCTGAGATCAACCACTTTAAGTTTGGCTTTGAGGCCATAAACCAAATGCAACAGATGGCAATCCCATTTTTTTTTTAAGTGACTGGACCCACATCTCTTTTTCATGCTTATAAATGCTTGTTATTCAACCTCTGTATACCTCATGCATTTTGGTTAGAATTTCCATTCACATTTCCCAAGTAAATCAAGGCAGTAGGTCTTCAAATAGTCAGAGTAACAAATCAAGACAAGTAATAGTTGCATTAAGATCATCAACTATTTTCTGGATGCAGTATCACTGCAGCTTTCCAGTTGTGGTTGCTGTTGTTGTTTGTTTTTGTTAGAATCTGCATGGTGAGATGATCAGCTATTCCCTATGTAAAGGCACCACTTCAAGACTACTCAGAAGTCATCAACAGGTGAAGAGATCACTGCTGTAGATCAAAGCCTGGGATGGCCAGAAACGCTCATCTCAGGAGCTAAGAGAAAATGAAAGAAGGGCAGCACACATAGAAAGTGGGTGTCTGGGCCACAGATCAGAAACACATTTGTATTTTTGAGTCAAAGAGAGGTGAGCCCAGTACTACTGTTTCATAGTGTAAGAAAAAGAAAAAGAGAATAAGATTAAGAAAGTGAAACTGACTTCTCAGTCTAGTAAAAGAATCAAGAGTAAATATGAATTCAAGTAAACTTTTTCTGATCTTGATTCACTTTTACTTGATTTTAAAGCAAATGATTGGAGAAATGACTTCAGATTATTATGTAATTACCATGTGCTGTGTTCCAGACATTGTCTAAGGCAATAATAATAGCTTAGGAATCTTACTATGTGTTTTGTTATTATACTGAGAACTTTATATTCAGAATCTCACATAATCCTCATAAAGATAATGTAAAATTACTATTATTTGACAGATTTACAGATGAAAAAAAATGGGATTTAGAGAGAATTTATTCAAAAATAAATCCACTCTGTATTAATAAGTGAGAGATCTCAGAGCTCACTCCATGAAGTCTGGGCCTTACATCTAACTTCAGAGGACATTCTTAACTACTACCAAATGCTGCTCTAACAGTAAATATTTCTAGGAAAAATTCATGAGTCAATAAAAAAAAATCAAAGAATCAAGGAATGATTTGTACACCAACATAATAATTGTTGTGCTTTAATACTTTTTCTGTAAGAAAACCCACAGTTATATAAAAACTTTCCTGAATTCTGGAATGCTTTCAAATCAATTTGTTTCCCCAGTCATAGCAATTTGATAAAATATACCACTTTCAAATGATAAAACATACTTGAATGATAATTTTTTTCTTCTGAAAACACACATATATGTGTTTCCTCTGGAATGACTCATCAGTGTCCAAGGCTTGTGCAAGTGTGCAGTTCTTTAACCTTGGGGACTGCAGACTGAGTGAACGGACTGAAATTCTGTCTTTTCCATTCCACCATATGTCCCGTTACCTAATTTTTCTTCCTCCAACTCCTTTCCATGCGAACCAGCTTACAGACACTCAACCATTCAACACCCCTGCTCAACTGTCTTCTTTCAGGAGTTCCCCTAATTATGAAAGCCAGATATACTTTTCCTTCCTCTGAAAAAAACATGGTTTAAAATGCATTGCATAAATAGATTTTATCTACTACATAACAGCAATAAGATTAAAAATACGCTTTGTAAATATTTTGAGCCTCAAATTTTTTTAAAACTGTTAACTGGAATAATAATGATTATTTTAGAATCTCGCAAGGATTGATACAAATGTTTTTTTTAATATATTTTATTGATTTTTTACAGAGAAGAAGGGAGAGAGATAGTTAGAAACATAGATGAGAGTCATTGCTCAGCTGCCTCCTGCACAGCCCCCACTGGGGATGTGCCCGCAGCTAAGGTACATGCCCTTGATCAGAATTGAACCCAGGACCCTTAAATCTGCAAGCCGATGCTCTATCCACTGAGCCAAACCGGTTTCAGTGATGCATATGTTTTAAAAACTCGTATTACTTCAATGTGCAATAAGGAAGCTCACACTACGTGAGCTGCTTGGGACTGTCCTCCCACACACACTGACAGACCTCCTCTCAAACACTCCCTTCTCGGAAGCCTTGCCCAACCAGCTTCCCTAAAAGCACAGTCCATTTCCCTTCCATTCCCCTCACTCAGCTGAAGTTTTCTTCATAAACTATCATGTGAGTGCGTATCATTCACTCATGAATATAACAATATGTGTCAAGCTATTTGTTCCTTTATCTGCCATGGTTTTCCACAAGGGAAGATTTATAACGTCAGATACTCGCTCATCTTGCTCTCTGCTATATTCTTCACACTTTGAAGTGCTTGGCACATACAGGGTAGATAGCAGATAACACAAAATGAAGAACAAATGAGTGTTTGAATGAGTGAATGGCAGCAACTATGGTGATGATAATTGTAGTAACAATGGTGGTGGTAGTAATAGTAATGATTAGCACCATGTATAAAGACCGTCATATCCCTGTTGGAGATATTATCTTCTTAAAGTAAGAATCACATCTTAGAAAGCTTTCCATTACTTGATGTGCTTAACTATCTCTGGTTCTCTTAAAAGATGCTTAGAAAATTATCTATAATCAACTAAAATAGAGTCCTGAAAGTGTACAGAAATACAGTGCCATTAGTTAAGTAAGTACAGGTTCCTAGTACAGTTTTATAATGTAGCTACTTGCTAAAGATTAATTCACCAGCAATTATTTTAGTCTCATTAACCTGATGCTTGGATTCCAAAACAAATTGCTATTCCTTAAGTTACCTTCTCTTCAACTAGCTCCTGCACACTAATTCTCATTGCTGTGCAAAATGGTCCTAATTGGTGTTGCTATTCAATGACTTCCTACAGCAAACACCTGACAGCAATCAATGCACATGCCAGGGCCATGGGACAGGGAAGGCGCCATGCGTCAGCCTGAGAAAGGGAACACGGAAGGCACTCACAACATGGTCATCTGGAGGCTGTAGAGGCAGGATGGAGCCACCGGGATAGTATGTTCCTGAGAGGTTTGGAGGCACAAGGACAGATATTTCATATTCCATATATAGAGGTGATTGGAAAGCCAGACCCTTAGTGGATGGATGCATCTGTTTGAACATTCGCTGCAATTGTCTAGAGACATGTTGGTGCTACAGACAGAACTAAACTCCATCAGTAACCTAGTTATTTATGTTGTGGTAACCACCGATCCAAAAACTCATCACCCTTCAGAGAGCAGTTTAGTTTAAAAAACAAAATGTCCAGGACACAGTGTATCTATTATAGATTCAATGCATTTTTTATTTGTTCACGTGCAAAAGATAAATATTGAACTCATAAGCAGAAAACAGATGAGGTTTATATATATTTTACTTTGTCAAAAGAAGAAAAGAAAAAGCCTTCCTACCAGTCTCAATCTTCTTAAAAAGATGTTTATCAAATGTTTGTAGTATTCCATTGTACTTCCCCATAGAGAACGCCCATATTCACTGCCATATGCATCATGAGAAGAAATATGAGTGCTGCATATTAAAATAGTCTCAAGAGTGACAACATTTAGAGAAAGA